CCATCAATCTCTAGTTTGTCAACAAAACGTCATCAATGGACCGTAACGATCGCCTGTTTGTCAAACTAAAATAAAAATTAAATTTCACCACGTTGTCCTCTCTGATTGGCCAACTTGGCCACACCAGTGCTGTAAGAGAGACGACTCGTATCTTAACATTTCTCCTGCGTGTTCTTTAGACTCAGCTACCAGATTTTTCCAACTGTTCTGTCTGACGGAAAACACGAGACAACCACAGACAACCACATCTTATCAGAGAACCACCTGTCTAGCAGATATGACAACCCTGTCTAGCAGATATGACAACCCCTGTCTAGCAGATATGACAACCCCTGTCTAGCAGATATGACAACCCCTGTCTAGCAGATATGACAACCCCTGTCTAACAGATATGACAACCCTGTCTAGCAGATATGACAACCCCTGTCTAGCAGATATGACAACCCCTGTCTAGCAGATATGACAACCCCTGTCTAGCAGATATGACAACCCCTGTCTAGCAGATATGACAACCCCTGTCTAGCAGATATGACAACCCCTGTCTAGCAGATATGACAACCCCTGTCTAGCAGATATGACAACCCCTGTCTAGCAGATATGACAACCCCTGTCTAGCAGATATTACAACCCCTGTCTAGCTAAACGGACAATCTTTTGCCTACCAGATCGAGTCAGACAATCACTAATTCTATTTTAGGTTGAAATATGCAGCTTGTGTAATCTGAATATTTGGGCCCAAACCTCTCTCTCTCTCTCTCTCTCTCTCTCTCTATCTATATATATATATATATATATATATATATATATATATATATATATATATATCAAGAAATTCCTAGGAACTTTAGCATTAGAGTTCATACAGATTAGAATCCATCAAGTCCGGAGTTACTAAACCATTTTTTTCATTACTTTCTTTTTTCTAAATGACAATGCTTTGTTTTTTAAATTCACTTGCAAGATTAAATGTTAAATTATTTTAATAAACAATTATCAGTTTTGTTTGTAATGATTAGACTTGTGAATAAATCACAGGAGTAAAACTTGTATCGACGTGTTTTAAGATAGGTCATCTACCTCATCAAGAGGTATAGAATAATGATCGTTTGCTCATTTGCTTACAATTCGCAGTTCAAATCAGCATATTTTTCATCTTTTAGCCTCGAATTGTGCCAATTAAAATAAACCGGGAGTGATCTCCCCTAAACTTTCTCGAATATTCTTATATAAAACAACAGGGGATGGGAACTCGGGATATAGTTATGATTTTTAATCCATTTTAAATACTTAAACTTTTTAAAAATAAAATAGAATCTCATAGAAAAAAGTATTGCACACCAAGCGAACGCCGAATAAAGATGTTCATAATGGTGCGCAATATTATTAGTACTATATAAATTTAGATGCGATTTTGAGAAATCGGAAATAGCGTAAATTAGTACTTCCCGTCAACGGAAATTACTCAAAATTTGACAGAACGAAGAGAATTAGATTTTTTACTTACATGTGAAATTTCATTTATCTATCTGAAATAGTACTCAAGTTATAGGCTTTTGAAAAATTCAAAGTAGAAAAAGTACCACTTTCGGTTATCGGAAATCGCTCAAAGGTTGATATGGATCTACGATTTTGATAAAATACTTATACATGAAATTTCATCAACCTAGCTGTAACGGTACTCAAGTTATCGTGTTTACACACACACAGACACACAGACACACACACACACAGACATACGGACAAGATTGCAAAATTATGTTTTTCCGTATCAGTGAGGTGTAAAACGTCGAGATTTAAGAAAATCTCGATTTTTTTTTGCACGATTACAATACTTTCTCTATACTACGTATATACGAGAAAGTAAAAATGCGAGGCATTTGAGATGTACATTACTAAGCAGAATACCGTTTAAAATGTATTATTATTTATTCCCTTTTTTTGGAAGTGATCAAAAAGTTAAACTGTAATCTGGAAATGTTGTTTTCTTAGTAAATTGTGGTCATTTGTTATATTTAACCGCTTATGATTGTTCCCCTTTTGGTTATTCTTTCGATTTGTACATATCAATTTAACTTCAACATATGATTTGCCATTATGTAAAGTAATACAAACCTACCAGTGTAAAATATGTTGTAATTTGTTTTATGGTAAATAAAAGTTTAAAAAAAAAAAAACAAAAAAAAAAAGTTTAGGGGAGATCACTCCCGCTTTATTTAAACATGTCTAATTCTCTTTCTTACAATGACAGCTACCCCCGTCTTAAACACCCACTGCCTATCTGTACTACCTGTCTTAAATCACACTCTGACTGTTTCTTAATACTAGCATTTACATTCCATTTTAACACCTACTTAAACACCTGCAACCTGTCCATTAAAACTATCAGCAACCCATCATATACAACCACCATCAACCCATGCAATACAAATCCCCATCAACCCATCCTCTACAATCCCCATCAACCCATCCAGTGCAATCCCCATCAACCCATCTAATACAACCACCATCAACCCATCCAAAACAAATCCCCATCAACCCATCCTCTACAATCCCCATCAACCCATTCAGTACAATCCCCATCAACCCATCCTCTACAATCCCCATTAACCCATCCTATAAAACTACCAGACATCCCTACCAAACATTTACAGCGCATCTCTCAACATGAATCTATCCTGACACCTTTACCAGAGTGTGACAGATACCATTATGTTTACAAGGACGTGTTTACCAGACCAAACACCTGTCACGTGACTTTAACCCCCACCCACCTGTGATGGGTTCAACCGAACTCACGCCTGCAAAATATATAACCAATCAGAAACACGTTTAATAAGTCAACATTTTATTGATCACACTACTGCGTCTGTGATAAAAGACAAACAAACAGCATCAAGGATAGTTTATTATAGGCTTATACTGGCTTGTAGTGGCCTATATTCTTTATTTACAACTGTCGGACTTGGGTATATTATTATATATTTTGGGTATTAAATGTTGTGGATATACGTACTAACTATACAATGGATTTAGTTAGTAATATACAGTATCACATACATAAAGTATCACTAACATACATTATCACTGTCATACAGTTTCACTGTTATAAAGCGTAATAAAACAATAATATAAAGCCTTAAGAGTACATGTAGCTTATAACTATTTGTAATGTTTACAAATGAGTGGAACAGCCGTCTTATTATTTAAAAAAAAAAGTAGCGTAGATTACATCTCATTTAAAGAAAGTAATATTTAACTTAACTCCACAAATAGAATGTTTACTCCACGCTTCAGTGATTTAGCAGACACACCTCAGTAACTTGATATCACCAGATTTTTAAAGTCATTCTGTTAGACATCATTGGCTTCAAGACTAACAAAGCCAAATTTTAATTTAACGTTGCAACGTTTATAAATCGACACGCAAACATTAATATTACCCAGCACTGTTACGCCCAGAGAGTCGGGGTCACATCAGGCTCAGGTCCAGAGACCCGTTTGATCATCCGGTCATCCGGGCCAACTACCTGGTCAAACAGGGGGACGTGGAGGTTCTCATTGCAGGTTCTTCTAGAACTTTCTTTAGTACACTAATCGGTCGTACAAAAACGATTTCTGTTCCTTTTTCGTGGAATTTTACACCTCCTCACATAGTCAGTCATTACTTTAAAAAATTCTTTATATACATAGGCTTCAAACGATATTGTAAATAAACTGTTAGCTGTTAACACGCTAGGTAAAATATGTCCGACCTAGTTATAACATCGAACTTTACCACTATGCCACTTCCTTCTCTCCCCTTGATATTCTTATTTAACATAAGCATGGGGTCATTAACCTTTATTCGTGTCATGATGCAGGTATAAAAGAATGCAGGAAGCTGACGAACACAAAGGTGATGAAAGATATCGGTGCTGAACTCACAGAAACATCAGCGCCACCTTCGTGTAAACAACACAGATACGACTCACACGAATACTGGACGTGCATGCTCAAGTTTAGACCACTCACCATATACCACCCTGTGGGCACGTGTAAGATGGGGCCGGCTAATGACCCAACAGCGGTCGTTGACCCTGAACTCAGGTAATCTGTCACTAATGGTGGCAGTATTGTGGCAGGTGTAAAATATGTTCTACGTACTTTGGCCGTCACACTGTCACTCAATACGTTGCGTAGAACAATTACCTTGATTAAAAAAAAATTTCTTACGCTTTAAACATGTTATATTACTATAACATATTAACTCATATTAACACGTATAATAGCAACTTAGAGTACAGTGGTTTAGATGGTGTTTATAATTTAGTAAAATTAAAAAGGGTTTTTTATTCCTGAAATTGTGTAAATACATTTTGCGATAAACGAGTTTATTTTCACCGTTCTAGTTAAATACAATTACTCCCTTACATACACACCCCTTTTTTAATTATGTTGACATCTCACGAGATGTTTTAAATCCCAATCAATATACGATAATCGATGAATTTTTACTTCGATACCGTCATCTGTAGGCTTTCAGTTAAAAAAAAATCCAGCTCGTGACTGCGCGAATAATTGTTTAAAATTAATCGGATTATCTCCCCTGTCAATATTTGGCAAATCCAAAGTTAGTAGATCCTCCAATCGACACCTAACCCCCCATTCTCTCCCCCCCCCCCCCCCCCCGACCCCCAATGAGGGTGCAACTCCTTGTAAGGAAACCGCTGGTAAACTATTTTAAGTTATTGCAAGAGTATTATTCAGTAGAAATGTGTGTACAGTTACAAAAATCTAAAAGACTATTGTTTTAAAATATAAACATAAAAATGTTTGCCTATATTTTTAATACAACGCTTGCCTATGTTCGAACAGTTACAAAATTCACGAAATTTCTTTCCCCAGGGTCCGTGGCATCCAAGGTCTCCGTGTTGTGCCCTGGCTTGTGTCCGCCAACACCAACGCCCCCACAATCATGATTGGTGAGAGGGCAGCAGACATGATCAGGGGCAGACCACCACCTCAACCTCTCCCACATTTATAGCAGCAGACATGATCAGGGGCAGACCACCACCTCAACCTCTCCCACATTTATAGCAGCAGACATGATCAGGGGCAGACCACCACCTCAACCTCTCCCACATTTATAGCAGCAGACATGATCAGGGGCAGACCACCACCTCAACCTCTCCCACATTTATAGCAGCAGACATGATCAGGGGCAGACCACCACTTCAACCTCTCCCACATTTATAGCAGACCACCACTACAACCAGTTGAACATTTATAGCAGCAGACATGATAAAGGCAGACCACCAGCAACCTATATCTCCATGTATACCCCTTTATATGATCTTGGTGGGGGAGATCTGCATTAAAATTAATGAAAAAAGCATAAATACAACCTGCTACGTTACGTGATCATGTTTAATCAGCAGGAAAAAAAACAAATGTTGGGCATAGGAAATTTATAGTATTCTTTTAAAACCGTTAAAATGAAATAAACGATTATATACCTACTTTATTGATGTACATGTTTTTCGTAGCTTTTTTCCGATTATTTAGACATCTTCTTCCTCTGCCTTCTTAATTCTAGGGTGGAACAACATTACGTGTCTGCTTGTTATGTGCCATTTGTTGACTCCGATTTTTTGCCAGCGTTTCTTTGTTTAGCCGACCCGACAAACGCCAACCTCCTTAGTAGACATTTAAATATAGTTTGCATATTTCTCCGATTTCTCCGATTTCTGACATCGTAAAAACAGATTTAAAAAATCAATTGTATAGCCCGAGTTGCCACCCCGGTAGTGTTATATAAAAATACTAGCCGTCCCGGCCAGGCCCTGCTCTGGCTTCTGTGAAAAACCTTTCTGTTAAAGACCATTACCTGTGTGTTTAGTAATCATCATAAACCCGGCATTGCCCACCCAAACCACAACCAACCAAAACAACAAAATGCAAACATAACGCTAACACAATTACAAATACAAACGAAAACAAAAACCTAACAACAAACCCAACCACAATCACAAACACCAATACAAACACAAAGAAAAAACAAACAAAAAAGCAAACGAAAACGAAAACCTAACAACAAACCCAACCACAACCACAAACACCAATAAGAACACAAAGAAAAAAACAAACGAAAAAGAAAACGAGAACAAACCAAATCCAAACGCAAAACCAACCACAAACACAAACCCAAAGAAAAAAACACAAACGAAAAAGCACACGAAAAGAAACCAAATCCAAACGCAAAACCAACCACAAACACAAATACAAACACAAACCCAAAGAAAAAAAACACAAACGAAAACGAAAAAAGAAAGAACAAAAAAGAACCAAATCAAAACGCAACCACTAACGCAAACCCAACCTAAACACAATGAAAACACAAACGCGAACATAAACGCAAAGTGCTCTCAGTCTAGCCCGGGGCAGAATCGCCTGTTTCAGCTTAATAAACGACTATAGTACCCCAACTTATTCGTAGTCTTTTACACTCACTTAAACGAACGTAGGTGCCAAACCAAACCAAATGAACAATTATAATACTCCAAGCTTAACCTTAAAATACCTACAACATTTGCACTTGATCAATCCCCGCTAATTATGTAATTTTTTTTTCCCAACACCAAAACAAAGTAATAAAAAGTAAATTCTTTTCCACTAATGCTATGTTTTATAAAGGGAAGTAATTGTGTTTTCCTAATTTATCAAAGGGAAGTAAGTGCTAAAGGACTAAATATAAATAACTTTTAGACATAATTAGAATTTTTCTTTTTTTTTAAAAATTGTGTTTAATGAACATGCCGACAATTATTATTATCAGTTTGAAAAATGAAAATTTTTTCCCAACACTTTCAATAGTAATTTTTTAACTCATAAATTTAGACTATGAGCACCATAATAGTCTAACACTTAAATCCATAGAAGTATGTCAACGACAAACAAACTTATTACATACAGAATTGAGCTTTAAATATTAGATTCGAGAAAGTTTAGGGGAGATGTATTATCTAATTACATTTCAATCAACATTAATTTGACTCCCACCCCTCAACCCCCATGTCCCCACCTTGTTTCGCACCATTTAAAATTTGTCATTCAGTTTCCTATTGAAAAATAGAAACACACGAACTCACACGCTGTATGTAGAACATCACAGCGTTCAGGTCACGCAACATTGCTCCTGATGTGTGGGCCACCGTACCCAACCAATCCCCACCCCCTTTCAACCCATGCCGCTATGACCCCGCCCACCGCACCGATACAGTACAACATTCTGACATAAAGGCACAGTTTTTTGTAAATTTTATTATTCTATCAATTGTTTAAGCTGTCAGTCAGGACAAGTTCCTTTATTTTATACATTTGTTGTTTACACATGTATCACCTTTTTTAAATAAATAGGTAATGGTTTCCTTTAATAAACCTTCTCGTATATTCTTATGGAACAGTAAGCTCATTCCTGTCTCAAATTTTTAATTCGCCTCCCCCCTCCCCCCCACCACTTCTCGTTAAATTTTCAAGTGGCACCACCCTCCCTCGTAGAAATATCTGAAAGATTCCATCTTAAGTCTGATCTTTTCGTGTGTTATGCTGCTAAAACTCAGATATTACCACAATTTACCCATCGAGGTTTCAAGAAAAAGTGGCAGGCCCTAAGGAAAAATATCGATGAGCCAACAGGAACAGTGCAGAAATAATAATTAGATTTATCTTTTACTTTCTCGTATATAGGAAGTAGCCTATAGAGAAAGTCTTGTAATCGTGCAAAAATGAAAATAGATATTTTTGCAAATCTCGACGTTTTACACCAGCCCCCCCCCCCCCCCCCGAGTTGAAAAACTCGCTATTAGCTATTTCCGATTTCTCAAAAACACGCAGGTGAATTTATAAAATACTAATAATATACCGCACTATTATACACATTTTGCTTCTCGTTCACTTGGTCCGCAATTCTTTTTTCTTTGAGATTCTATTCTATTTTTAAAAGTTTAACTAATGAAAAATCATATTTTTATCCCGAGTTTTCATCCCCCGAAGTGTTATATAAGAATATTCGAGAAAGTTTAAGGGAGATCACCCCCGGTATACTTAATATGTGATATACCCAATTTTATAATGACTAAATGTGACCTTTTAAAGGTAATTTTTTAAAACTGTACCATGACTATATCTATCAAGGTTAAATAAGTTATATTGTAGAATCTTTTTTTAAATTAGTATGTCTAAGATTGCGTATGATTGTTTAAGTAGGATCATATAAGCAGGGGCGTAGCGAGGGGGGGGGGGGGGCGGGGGGTGCGGACCGCACCGGGTGACACCTTTTAGGGGGGTGACACCAAGGCAAACAATAGCAAAATATATGGAGAAAAAGTTGAGGGGGGGGGGTGCAAATCGAAAATTTGAAAGTTTGTCCCCGGGAAGGGTCGCTACGCCTCTGGGGGGTGACACCATTAAGTACCGCACCGGGTGACACCCGACCTCGCTACGCCACTGCATATAAAAGATATGTGTGAAAAGATATGTGTGTTTACAAAAATACTAAAAATGTCAAATTCGTAAAATTTATTTTTAGAAAGAAAAAATAATAATAAGAATTATATATCTTAGTGTTAATAATAATTGCTACATTTATTAGATCAATTAGACAAATTAATAAATGGTATCATATTCAAATCAACCTATCTTTTGAGTGTAGTGCCATAGTTTGAGCACCAGGTCGTTATAAGATCATTATTTCAAACGGTCAACTCACACATATTTATACAACACAGAAAACATTTTTAAAATTTTAAAACTTTTATTTCACTTTAAAAAATTGAAGCATAGAAAAATATGATAAAACATTCTAAAGATATATCCTTGTAGAAGTTTTATAGTCATCAACCAAGTTTTTAAAATGTCCGTTGCTGATGTTGGAGACTCATGGTGTAGGGTCATGGTGAGCCTGGGTGTTGATTCACAGATGGAAGAGTTACTGTTTTAGTCTGGTAGGTGTATGGGATGGCTTGTACTTCAAGTAAAATGTTAGTAACCTTTGCTGTTAGGGCCATGCATTGGATGGCCAAGGTTATTCATACTGGGATGGCCAGTGAGTGAGCCATATTGAGGCTGAATGTTTGGGGCCATCTGAGGTTGATGGCCTGGAAAAAACTGAGAGGGTCCCACATTTTGAGATCCTCCATCATGACGTAATGTGTTGACAGGTACATGGGGGCCTACAGTTTGAGATCTGTCGATGTTTGAGGGTCTCAAATGTTGTTGTGGGACCCCACACACGTCCCCAGCTGCCCGAGAGTAGGGGACATAGAATACTTTGGTCTCACTGGGGCCAGTCACGTGATATTGATGATAGAATGGCGCCATCTTCTGGTCAAGATGTGACGTCATCTGCTTGAATGTTGGGTCGATGTATGGTGCTGGCATTGTGGTGCTGGTCATCTGATGGCCAGTTCCATGAGGTGTAGTGGTCATCTGATGGCCAGTTCCATGAGGTGTAGTGGTCATCTGATGGCGAGTTCCATGAGGTGTAGGGGTCATCTGATGGCGAGTTCCATGAGGTGTAGTGGTCATCTGATGGCGAGTTCCATGTGGTGTGGTAGTGGTCATCTGATGGCGAGTTCCATGAGGTGTAGTGGTCATCTGATGGCGAGTTCCATGTGGTGTGGTAGTGGTCATCTGATGGCCAGTTCCATGAGGTGTGGTAGTGGTCATCTGATGGCCAGTTCCATGAGGTGTAGTGGTCATCTGATGGCGAGTTCCATGAGGTGTGGTAGTGGTCATCTGATGGCCAGTTCCATGAGGTGTGGTAGGGGTCATCTGATGGCCAGTTCCATGAGATGTGGTAGTGGTCATCTGATGGCCAGTTCCATGAGGTGTAGTGGTCATCTGATGGCCAGTTCCATGAGGTGTAGTGGTCATCTGATGGCCAGTTCCATGAGGTGTAGTGGTCATCTGATGGCCAGTTCCATGAGGTGTGGTAGTGGTCATCTGATGGCCAGTTCCATGAGGTGTGGTAGGGGTCATTTGATGGCCAGTTCCATGAGGTGTGGTAGGGGTCATTTGATGGCCAGTTCCATGAGGTGTGGTAGTGGTCATCTGATGGCCAGTTCCATGAGGTGTGGTAGGGGTCATCTGATGGCCAGTTCTATGAGGTGGAATGTTACAGTTCAGTACCTCCATAGGATTGTCTGACTGCAGAATTCGGAGACGTTGGGCCTCTGTTAGGGGGAGACCATTGTTGAAGAAGGACAGGTAGTTGAAGATTGAAGGGTAAAGGTCAATGACAGAGTTCATGACGTTACGTTTACTGCCCAATCTGTGTCCATTGTTTGGGTTGAGTGGTACCAGTGTTTCCATTTTATCAAAAGCGTTTCTTATCTTCTGTTGTCTGGCTCGCTCCTACAAGGACAGAAACAAAAAAAAAGTTATTTTAATTAATTAAATCG